ACAGGCACAAATTAATTCACACCAACAAAAGGCCGTACGTTTGTCAAGTGTGTGGGGCTGATTTTGCCGATCGTTCTAGTTGTCGACGTCACCAGCGTGGACACGTGGGTAGACGTTCACATCTCTGCCAGATATGTGGAGAGGCTTTTAAACGAGCTGAGCATTTGACTGGTCATATTAATAAAAAACACAGCTGTGGTGACACTGGCATGACGTCCAGCCAGAAGAAAAGAACAAGACAACGTCCTAAAAGACCTGGTGGCAGATTAAGGAAAAATAAACCAAGTGAGGATCAGATTACAATGTTACCAAGCAAAGAAACATGCTTAGAAAATCTTATCAGTCAATCTAAAAACCTGGTGAACCCTGTTGCAGAAGAAAATCGAGTTACAGGTCTGGTTTCTCCTACAGTTACACTTAACCAGACTGAAAACCTGGTACGTACTGTTCCTGTGGAGAACAATGTAATAGGTATGGTTTCATCTCCAATTTCAGTAAGCCAGACTGAAAACCTGGTACGTACTGTTCCTGTGGAGAACAATGTAATAGGTTTGGTTTCATCTCCAATTTCAGTAAGCCAGACTGAAAACCTGGTACATACTGTTCCTGTAGAGAACAATGTAACAGATTTGGTTTCGTCTTCGGTTACGGGAAGCCAAAATGAAAATCTGGTACATACTGTTCCCATGGAGAACAATGTGACAGATCTGGTTTCGTCTTCAGTTACGGGAAGCCAAAATGAAAATCTGGTGTACTCCATTCCAGTGAGAAATCAAGCCTCTGAACTTGTGTATCCTTCAGTTACATCACAAACTAGAAACCTGATGCACGCTATTCCAATGGACAAACAAGCTACAGATGTAGTTTCACCTTCAATCTCAGTAGGCCAGACCAGAGATCTATTGCAATTTAATCGTGAAGGAAGCGATTTAGTCCACCCCACCCTAGACCTCTTTAACTCCATTAGTGTAGCAAGTCAAAACAAGGATTTTATACCTGGGAACGAGAACAGTACAAGCACCATTGGTGAAGGCAATATGAGCAAAATCATAGAGCATTCTGCTTCTTTGGGTAGTCAGCCTGCAAGTTGTTCAATATCGGACGGCAGAAAAGAAACACCTTCAACTAGTCAAAGTATAGACTTGGTTTCCTGTTCCTCAACAGACAGTTTTGGAAAATCACCCTCAAAAACTACTACAAATAATCAGAGGACAAACTTTGGGAGTTGTTCTGTACTAGGAGATTTCAAAGAACTTCCCACAAGCACCACTTCAGGTGGTCAGACTACAGATTATGTATTATCAGGAGATCCACCCATAAATACCATTACACAGAGTCTGAGCTCAGACTTTGGGGGTAGTTCTCTGGTAAGCAGTCTCAGAGAATCTACTGTATCTTCGGAGAAAGTTTCACTTGTAAGTTTTTGTTCCAGCAACAACTCGTATAAGTGCCAAACTCCTGCACAGAGATACGTGAATGAAATCTTGCCACAGATGGTGAACAGAGGGGGTTATTATTCACAGTTAAGAACTATTTCCACTACTAAACCCGACAATTTTAACCCCTGGGAGAAAGAACACAGCCTTCCAGGTCATGCTGTTGACATCACAACCACTAGGATGCTCAACTGTGATTCTGAAAATCTCTTTCTCTCCCTACCCAGATAGACTACGTATCTTATCCGGACTTCAAAAGTCAAGATTATTACAACTGGCTTTCTAACTTTTCATCCTTATGTAAGCTTCTTACTGCCCCTATAGATCCTGAACTGTTCAGTAAGATAAGTCAGGTGCAAAAGTCGATATCGGACGTCCTTTCCAATCCATATGGCATACTCACACGTCGCCATACCTTCAAGATGCTAATGTGTATTTCTCAGGATCTACAGCAGGTTACTAACTCTCACCTAAAGTATGTCTTCAGCCAGCTGAATCCTTGATAATTTGAATGAAATCAGGACTAGGCCTAAGACCATATTGAAGCAAGTACTGCGACAGAAAAACTTTTTAATTTTAATGACAAATATGCCAGAAATTATTTTTTCAAACAAAGCATGTTCAATGCTGTACATAAATGTTTATTTTTCTAAGTATAATATTAACGAGTTGCTTACATTTTAATAGTTTTATATATCAGGTCAAGAAAAACTTAACTAGAAAACAGAAGTTTAGTCAAGGGAATCATCGTTTGTTTTGTATGAGCTTGACAAGTTGTCCACAAGTTGATTTCTATTTACATTATATAATGGTTTTATTAATACTACAACGGTATTATTTTACTTAAAAGTATCATTATGGAAGAAAAAAATCAATTTTATGGGGTAACTATGAAGAAAGTTTCCCATTTCAGGGTACCATATCTTGGAAAAATTTTAATTGCACAGAAGGGTTTCATGCAGATGTCACAGTCGTTACATGGTGTGAAGGTGTGAACTAGTTAAATGTTCCAGTGTTTCATAAAAAACATTTTGTTGAAAGGTTGTGCCACATACAGACAGACCACCGACATCCGAAACTAGGTATCTTTTAGCTACTAAGAAAGTGGTTTTAGTTACATTGAAAAGAAACTTTCTTCTGTTTAAGAACCATCAAAAAGTTCACCTGGGAGGAAAGCCTTTTGTGTGCGAGGTTTGTGGAAAAGGTTTTAAAAGTAAAGATAGCAGAACCCGGCACCAGATAACTCATACAGGTAAGAAACACTTTCTGGTTAAAACTATTTTTATATGATAACACATAAAGGTAGATTGTACCTTGTAGTTAACACTATTTCTGTATGATAACACAAAGGTAGGTTATACCTTGTAGTTAACACTATATCTATGTGATAACACATAAAGGTAGGTTGTACCTTGTAGTTAACACTATTTCTGTATGATAACACAAAGGTAGGTTATACCTTGTAGTTAACACTATTTCTGTATGATAACACACAAAGGTAGGTTGTACCTTGTAGTTAACACTATATCTATGTGATAACACATAAAGGTAGGTTGTACATTGTAGTTAACACTATTTCTATATAATAACACAAACAGGTAGGTTGTACCTTGTAGTTAACACTTTGTGTATGATAACAGATCACATGTACAAGTAGGTAGTACCTTGTGGTTAACACTATTTGTGTATAATAACATGTACAAGTAGGTAGTACCTTGTGGTTAACACTATTTGTGTATGATAACAGATCACATGTACAAGTAGGTAGTACCTTGTGGTTAACACTATTTGTGTATGATAACATGTACAAGTAGGTAGTATCTTGTGGTTAACGCTATTTGTGTATGATAACACGTACAAGTAGGTAGTACCTTGTGGTTAATGCTATTTGTGTATGCTAACATGTACAAGTAGGTAGTATCTTGTGGTTAACGCTATTTGTGTATGATAACGTACAAGTAGGTAGTATCTTGTGGTTAACGCTATTTGTGTATGATAACATGTACAAGTAGGTAGTACCTTGTGATTAACACTATTTGTGTATGGTAACATGTACAAGTAGGTAGTACCTTGTGGTTAACACTATTTGTGTATGATAACATGTACAAGTAGGTAGTACCTTGTGGTTAATGCTATTTGTGTATGATAACATGTGGATCTTTGTTCATTTTAATATCACTGTAAAAACCTATTTTTCCATGTTGCTAACTTAAAATCGGTAAATTGTCACCTTAACACAAATGGTGAGTTTGTTCTGCTGTTAACTTTGAAATTAAAATTAACTGAACAGAAGAAAAGTCTACTCTGTTTTACTATACAAGATAGTTAAATCAATGAAGTCTTAAATTTTTCACCTATTAAATACTTTATTTTTAGTTTTTGTATGTTGCATTATCAGTCAGACTGTTTGTTGTACTACTCCAGGTATCTTTGGTGGTAACAGTGACAGTTTTACTGTTGTACTAATCCAGTAAAA